GAAGGATCATATGCCTGTACTGAAAGATCTGCATTGACTACCAGTGGCCTACCAGACACAATTTAATGTGATAGTGTTGACCTTTAAAGCCCTAAATGTCTCAGGGCCTGATTATCTGTGGAACTACCCTTCCCATGATGAACCTGCAGGAGACACCCGTATGAAAATGTCCCCACTACCAGAAGCTTGACTGTTGGGCATGTGGGAAGGTGCCTTATCCCATGTAGCTCCCAGGCTATGGAATGTATTCGCTTCTTTTTTCTCAGTATTTGGGAAGATGATAAAAATCAATTTCTTTTCCCAAGTTTTTAGTTGTTAATGCTGTAATTATTTAATTTTGATTTTGATTGTAATTGCATTTATTTTTTTTATGCATGGCATTTTTTATTGGTGAAAGTTACTTGAATATTGGAATAAACAGAAAAGTGGGATATGTATTCAATAATAACAGAATAAAATAAATATTTTCCTTGCATTAATTGCAAATGTTTTAGTTTATTTAAAAACTCATTTAGATAAAATATTGTGCTTTCTGTATAACTTATTCTTGCATACCTCTTCCTTAAAGGTAAATCCCACTGATTAATTATACCTTGGTAAATTATTTTAAGATTGTACTTCACAATTGCTTTATTTTTATACTGTTGTCTATAAACTGTCCCAAAGTGGTTCTCTAGAAAACATGGAAAAAGATAATTCTATAAAAAAGAATTCACTATAATTTCATAATGGAAACACTTTTTTTTTTTAAAAAAAAAGGTCAGTATGCAAATATTTCAGTATGAATAGAGCAAAATAGAACAGCTGTAAAATAAATCTATTCAAAGGGCCTCAAGGGATCAGTTGGTCTCAGCCACTATTCATAAATGATGAAAAACGCCTAGCTGTGCTAAGCCAGGATTTTATTGAACTAGCAACAGTTCTCTGGTTCATAGTTCGTATTAAGCCAAATCAAAGGACCATTGGAAGGTGCTTTATACCATGTTTATCTGGATTAGTAAATCTACAACAGAATGGCTGAAGTAGAAAAATTTGGCCTTAACTCAGTTAAAATGTTTTGGTGTCATCTGAAATCTGCAATTATGGAATATATCCTCAAAATATTAATGAGTTAAAGCAGTCTGTGAAGAGGAGTAGGCTAAAGTAATGCCAACCTAATGTGCAAGATTAATCAATAGGTACAGGAAAAGTTTGGTTGAAGTCATTGCTACTAAAGGAGGTGCCACCAATGACTAAATCTAAAGTTTCAAAAAAACCTTTCCCAGCAAAAACAGTGAATGGTGGTTCACTGTGGAGGCATGATGCACTATGCTGTTCTCTATGTTGTTTTTTAACCTAAATCTCTTTATCTATTGCTAGCTTTTAGTTGAAACTCGTATCATTGCTATAGGTCACAGTGGAACTTCATTACTGATCATCCTAAAGGATTCAAATTTTTTCTCACCACTCATGGAATGTACGGCTTGGGCTGCATGCCTCTCTGTGAGCTCATCCAGTCAGGGGCTGTTTTATTATTTTATTTATTTATCATATTTATATAACCACCCATCTCACACAAGGTGACTCTGGGCA